GTGGGTGTGTATTGAAGCCCAGCCAAGAACAAAGTCGTGCGGGTGGCGGAAGTAGCCCAAAGCGGACAATATCTTACTAGGGTCTGCATCACTCTATTGACGGGTTATGGAGACCCCCTTTGCTTGCTTGGTCTAATCTCGATGCCCCCTCAAAGCCATTATTTAAACACGAGAGTCGATGTAATTGAGGTCTCAACGAGCCTTGATTGCGTAGCTCCTAGGTGGAATGCCCAACCGTTGGTAGTCTTAGAAAAATATATAGATTCATATAACATTTTCAACCAATTAATATAGGTAAATCGTATTACATATTGATTCCATATTTATAATTTATAAATATTACTTAATGAGTATTTGTAATTTATAAAAATTAATGAATATTTCTTACTCGTGCATCGCAAGGAATTCGTACAAGTAGGTTTAGAGCCCATCTGAACATTTTTCAAGTTATAGCAGTTATTTTTTTAAGACATTGAAAACTTGCATATCACAAGGTGAAGATACAGAAAAGAGGACAAATTTTTTACTGAAACAATGATAGATACTTTTACAAGTCTCCAGTGATATAAATATGCAACATAAATTTACAGTAAAGTAGATAATTGTAAATTGCCATCATATATATGTATATATTTATTCAAACGCTTTTTTTAATGCCCATTTTCTGAAGCATTAAGAGTTAAAACCTCTGCAACAACAAAAAATCTAGTTAGTACCAAAAGATAATCACAAAATTTTTGTACGAGGCAACCTAACCGTTAGGCATGAAAAGACTAATAATAATTCCCCATCAGTTAGCAACTACACAAATTCTTGTTAGTTTGGAAAATTAGAGACTCAAACAAAATTACCTGTTAATTGCATGTTGCTTCTGCTAAAATGAGACTTTTGCACACCACTTCATGAACAGAAAAAAAAAAATGTATATACACCTTCACGGAACACTTACAACTCAAGAAGAGGAAGAAGAAGAAGTAAAAGTGAATTCAGCCGGGGAAAAGAGTACGAATTGTGTGATCAAGCCTGCACGCACAAAATAAAAACGATTAATTTCTTGGCACAACATAGGTACATAATTTTTTAGCAAGATCGAAGCTGAAATAGGGAAGAAACCTGAAGATGAAATCCACCATCAGACACTTTTTACTCTATCCAAAAGCAGCTTCGTATTGAATAATGAAACACAGGTGCAAGGGCCAACTCATCAAGCTTAAAACTGTACAGTTTTTATACAAAAGGGTGAAGTTCTTTAACGGTTGATGGCTTCCATTGCGAACCGAACAAGCCGTAATAGTTCCTCAACGTCATGGAAATTAAAATGTAGTGCATTTTTCAGTGAGTTGAAACTCTCTTTATTCGAGGATTCACAAAGTTTTGCAGTAGCGGCTGTAAATGCAATTCTTGATTTCCTCGAGGCTTCCATTGCAAAGTTAACATCTTGTGCCTGCAAACAAGAAATGCGTTAAAAAAAAAAAAAATACTCTTCGCAACCATCTATCTCATATACTTCCCGATCAATATCATGGGATCAATTACAAATATAACCTTGAGATTTGATTGAGTTTAATTACCAAAAAAGAAAAATAAAAGGAAAAGGAAATTGACATTTTTTTATTTTATTTTCTCACAATTAGGCTATGTTTGATAAACCTAGCTAATAAGCTAGCCTATAGCTTTTAAGTGAATTTCGAACTTATATCTGCTTACGCCTTATATGACTGATGGCTAAAAAACTAGTTTATATGATAAAAGTGTGGTAAAATTAACTGATAAGCTAACTGAAACAAAAAAATTCAATGGGCTTATTTGAAAAGCTACCCAAGGAAGTTTATGAGATAAGCTCGGGCTTTTTTTTAAAAAAAATCCGTTCTACCAAACCAAACTTATTTGAATATAGGAAGGTTATAAGCTAATCAAATAAGCTAAATAAACTATAAGCTAGCTTATATGCTTATCAAACACAACCTTAATAACACCTTAATTTGTATTTGACATATTGCGACTAGAAAGGGTCATTAACAATTCTTCAAAGACAAATTGATTTCTTATCTTAAGCATTTAGGCCAGACCTCAAAAGGGTAGTTTCATAATATCTCACATTTCGATGTGGTAAATAAATGGCACACTTACAAAATTTAGAATACGCAAAAAACCAGAACGATTGCGTGAAGTGATTATATGGCTTCCACAAACTTGAGGGGAACCAACAGCTTTGGCTAGTGAAGGCTTTTCGGTAGTTATTTGGTGGTTCAAGTTGTCAACATCAGATGCAGATGAAGAAGGAGATTCACCTAAAAGGAAATGATTAACAGTAATTAGATCAGTCAAATTTGGTGAAGGTTATAAAAACTACATAAGCCATGCGAATAAAATTATTAAAGCAACCCGAAAATCTAATCAAACTAATAATCGCTCACTTAAATACGCATGCCGCTTAAAATCATTTCACACAAGGATCTGCTGATGATATAACTGAAAATATATATTTTATCAAGATTTTCCAATCAACTACTAAGCCGTATCGTAAGTATTAGTTATATTTTTTATAGAACTTTCATCATGATTTTAATAGCATACATAAGACTAATTCATTGTAGGGTCCCATGTGACTTATTATAAAAAAATAAAAATAAAAATACATCTAGTTGTAGAAAATTAACCAAGAAAACAAAGAACCTAGTTACTTTTCATAATTACAATTAATTCCATGACTATACTTATCTAGAAATTGCAAACTCAGGAGGGGCTTAGAAGGGACTATTTGTAAGTAAAAGTCTGAAGGAGTTTAGTGCGATTTCGGAAGATTAATGGATATTCACAATTATAAACCTTTGGGGTGGCAATGGCATTCATCTAAGTTTTACCAGGAGGGACAATTTGCAAAGCCGTTTGCAACTCATTTCGATCCCTACTTGCACTGTTATGCGATGAATAAACCACACGCAAGTAAGCAACTTCCATGCATTTATAGGCCAACGAAGCAGCAGCCATGTCCTTCAACTTTTCATATTCATGTGCACAAAACCTATAAAAAGAAAAAAGTATCAATCAAATAAAACAGATTGTCCAGTCACTACATTTTCCATTTCAAGATTAATCGCCACAGCTAGTTTGATAAATGAACTGAAAAATGTTATAAGAGGATTATCCACAACGAACACCAGAAAATATCAACAACAACAACAACATACCCAGTATATTCCCAGATGGTTGGGGTCTGGGGGGTCAGTTGTACACACATCTTACCCTTGTAATTATACAAGGAGGTTGTTTCCGTAGCGACCCAAGGTGCATTGCGTCCTTTGATATATATTTTTTTTCTAGAAACTTCACTAATAGAAGAAGCACTAGAATTTAATTGAGCCATTTTGATCTAGTCCATTTTTTATTTATTTATTTATTTATTTATTTTTTTTTTTGAACACCAGAAATATCAAACTGAATAAAAAAATAAAAATGCCAGTTCAATTTAGACAAAGAACACATAAAACTAAAGCTCCAATTTAGGATGCTACTTACTGGCAGAGTTTGGCAGTGCTGCTATATATATGCATCGAGTGCATTAGATCATTATGTTTTGTGGCTTCACTGCTTCCATTTTCCAACAAAGAGGCTCCATGAAGAAACTTGAGAGCAGCTTGGAAGTAAAATCCTATACTTTCAGTGGAGCCATTATTCTGAGAGAGAGAGAGAGAGAGAGAGAGAGCATTTATGAACATCGAAAAAACCACAAAATCAATTAATCAATCAAAAAGCCGTTAAATCCCACTAAGTGGGTCAGTTATATGGACCACATGTCGCCATCGTGCTAGATCAAAGCACAAATCCTCATTCAAATTTAAAAATTTTAAATCATAGTCTCATTCCAAGTTGTCTTCGGTTTACCCCTCCCCCTTTTAATTTGCGTTCTTGATTATAATGTTTCTACAAAAACCACAAAAAAGAAAAAAAAAAAAAAAATACTCCATAATTGCCAAGAATGTCAACAAACCTTAAGACGATCGGCCAAGTGTTTTAGGTCCTTCGCCTCTTTTAAAGCACTGTTAGCTGCATGAATGGATGAATCCTTTTGAAGGGGAGTAGGAGCATCAATATCCCGAACTTTAAGAGAATTGTGAGTTTTCAAGTTCTCAACTTTCGTTCTCTGATTTGGTGCCTTTTGTCCCTCACCATTATCTAAATCGAGTGCCGAACTTTTAACACCAATTTCTTTCTGAGTTCCAAAAACAGGTTCAGTCGAAATTCTTGCTAAAGGTGGAAGTGAGCACGATTTCACAGTTCCGTTAGTCTCTGCCTGGTTGCTTCTCTTTGGTAATTTCTCCTTAGCTTGCTCTTGATGAATATTATTATTAAGCTTTTTCTCTTGGCTTTTGATGTTCCTACTCTTGGGTCTCTCCTCATACACATATTCGTGATGCAAAGAATCATGAGAAGAATTTTGAACTTTATCTCCACAAGCACGAGCATTGTCTTTCAAATGTGAAGACAATCCTTGCCTGGGTTTTTTCTTCAGTGATGGGTCTACATTTGCCTTTTCTTCAAATTGGCACTGCTCAGAAAATTTTTTTACACCTTCGCCAGAAAGCCCCCCATCTTTTTTCATATCCTTATCTTTATCAGATGTGACTTTATCGATGTTAGGATATCTTATAGGAGAAGAAGACACTGATTCAACAGGGGAACTTTTAACTTCCTGGCCACTGGCTTTGTTCTTATGCGAGCCCGATACATTAGGCGAGCTTGAATCAGCAGCAACTGTAGGATTTACACAACCCATATCACTTCTCGAATAATCCACTGCCTGAACAGTCCTCGAGAAATGCCCGTTATCAGGATCATCTTTGTGACTAACTTTAGCTTTCCTTTCTTTCTGTTGGTCACTTTGTTCTTTTGCTTTCCTCTTCCTGATAGAATCCTTTTCATCACATTTTTGGGCTCCAATTAAATCCGTTTTGCTGTTATATTTATGCCTATCATCATTCCTTGATGTTTTATTAGAAAAACTGGTTGATGGACAATCTGCTTTTGAAGAACTACCACGATTGTCAGAAGTCCAATAGTCATCATCTGCATGTAATTCCTCACTTTTTATTCTTTTAGAAGCTCCAGAACCTTCCGTATCAGCCTCTCGCTTGCTCTGCAGTTTTAAGTTTGTACCTGTGGATGTTATTCCGAAACAAACTTTAGAAAGTTCATAAAAACTGACTGATAAAAAAAAAAAAAAAAAAAAAATCCAGGTTACTTCATGATTTACCTCTATCAGAGGAGTTGGAAAGTGGTTGCTTTTCTTCCTTATGATCACTATATTTTTCGACCAGAAAAACCGACTTTCGAGAAGGCGAATTATTTCCGATGTTCAAGTTACTCGTCTTACCAGATGTTCCCAGGCCTTTCTTGCGTGAATGTGAGGAGTTGGTGGAGCCATCTAGATCATTCAAATTTTCTACCTTCATTGACCCGTATTTTTTCTTCCCACTAGCAAAGCTTTGGTTCTCTTGGGCTGGATAACTAGCATCAGCCGTGGCCATTTGCATAGAACTCACAGCAGAGTTATTATTATTAAGTTGACAGCTTTGGGTCTTGGAAGAAAGGCCTGGGATTGAAGCAGAAGGATTGTAAAGGGCTCTTAAAGCATTCGTTGTCTCCTCTTGGGGAACATTGCATCGATTCATTCCGGGCCTATAGGGATTGCAAAAGATGTAAAAATTGTATATTGAAAAGATTTCCCGCACAAAGTCACAAATACATCCATAAATTTGCATTATCAGTCAAGGATAAATCTGATAGTAGAAGATACACTAATTCCACCATGGGTTTTGGTTTAATCTGATCACAAAAAAAAATCCCTTTACACAAATAAACCTTCAAAATTTGTTTCTCTTTTACTATTGGAAGGTCCCACTTACAATTCGAAAAAAGATAATCACACCAAACTACAAGGGCAGTTCTCCTGTTTAGCAATTTAACACCAACAATAATAAATCATGAAGCAAGAACGAATATGAAAAGGTGATCAAGACTTACAGCCAGGTCAGCATCCGGCAAATCCATTTATCGGGAAGACTCGAAACATTTGTTCCGAGAGGTAGGAGTCTCCACTTCTGACACTTGTCACACAAGACCCAATCTTCTTTCACTGAAGGAACACTTCCTGCTGGAGCCTGTGAAGACGGTGCATTTGCATTGGGAGGGGCCAAATGATAAATATCTGGGACCTGTGGTGGTTTTTGAGAAATATCTACATAAAATTTCTCTTTAGAAATGTTAGGATCATCACTAGAGCTGCTTTTACCAACAACTCGGGCATTTTTCAACCTTCCTGGGGAGTTCATCTCGCCTGAAATAGACTCTTTATCCTCGTCTTCAAATTCAACATCCCCGAAAAAGTCCTTATATCTGTCAGCACCATTAGCCACTTTTTGTTTTTTCTTGCTCCCTGTGGATGGTTTTGCACTAGCTGGTTTTAGACCTTCCTCACTTTTTTTTCCCACAATTAACTCAGACTGATCAACAGAAGGGAAAACTGCATTGTTACTGACAGGATTTCCGTTTTTAGATTCAGAAGTTTTGCCCGAATTATCAACTCCACTATTAACTTGAGCAGATTCATTATCCAAAATACCATTCTCCGTAAATGCAGAGAAGGTTTCCACCTTAACGTCATCTTTTAATTTTGCAGGTTCGGTAGAGTTATTTTGTGAACCGGATAAAAGTGGAAGTTTCGAAGCATTCGAGACCTCAGTTTCCCTTTCCTTCTTCAAGAGAAAACCTTTACCATAATCCACATTGCCATTGCTTTTCTTATTCTTCAATTCCATAGATGAAACATCACCCTTCTCAGACAACATCGATTTTTTCTGATGGCACTTACTGGGAAGAGACTCATTTTCTAACATCCCAGAACTTTCTACACTCGTCTTGTCCACTGTTTTAGTTTCAAACTTCCCTATAGGCTTCTTTTTTTCTGTCAGACAAATCAGATATTTCGAAATGGGTGATAAAAGTAGTTCACCCGGAAAGGCCGTCATCATCTGCTCCAAGACACCATCAGTAAAGAAGTTTATAATTTAAGTCAGAAAGGTAAAAATAAATCCATATTAACCAGAAAGTTTCCATAGCTAATTGAAGATAAAAATGATTACCTGTAGAATACTGGTGGGTGATGCCTCTGGGGCCTCTGTGAGTTTACCGAAATGCCCTTCACAAGTTGTAGGACTGTCATCCAACGAGGATGATGGAGACACTACAAGACCAAGACCACTATATATTGCAGCATTTTTTCGGGTCGACGAATTTTCAGAGCCAACTTTAATTCGGACCTTCAGGGTTCTCTGATCAGAAGAATTTATAGATTGTAAATAACTATTGATGCCTTTCAAGGAACTTCCAAGAGGTGACAATTTTCCTGAAGCAACATGGGGCCTTCCCAATGGAGAAGAAGCACATGATGACGCAAGAGAGTTTTTTCTTTGATCCTATTAGGCCAAAGAAACATTTCATAACCGGCAATATTTTAGTTCTTTTTTCCCTTCTATCTTTCTTTAAAAACACATGAATGAAAAGTATATCGATTTGGTACAAAAGTATCTACCTCCACATGTAGCTTTTTCGGGGATCCTTGTAAGTCATGATTATGATGAGGCTCTGCAGGAATCTTGGTATGAGATCCAGATGGTGACCTCTGATAAGTGGGCAAAAACGAGCCATAGCCACCAAATTTCGCCCCTGTTAAGTATTCAAGAAGTTTCTGATCAACACTTCAACATTATTGAACTACATTTTATTCAGTCTTAACTTCACATGATTTTTCGTATCCTTTTGAATAACTTCACATTATCGAACCACATTTTACTCCGTCCGAGTATACACGGTTTTTCCGCATTTTTTCTCTGACTTACCCAAATTCTCAGCTGAAACACCGCCTTCAAAATCTTTCTGGAAATGCCCCAATACATTTTGGAGTTTCTCCTCCTTCAATTGCACACAAATTGAGGGACATGAGAGTCGAATTCTATAATCATGAGAGAAACTTACAACTTCTTTGTAACTACTATTACAAGCTCTCATAGTACATGCAACCCTACTGAGTGAATCAAAGATAACGTGGTGTAAATTATACGGACCTATATACTGCAGTACAGCCCGTCCAACAATGGTAACTATTTACTCTCGGTGAAATCGCATTAATGATCTTTCCCTAGTTAAGCAATCCATAAATTCAATCTAGGAAGCTGGACTGAATCAATATAATCAAACCCAGATAACCAATTAACATGATATCACCAAATCAACAGCGATTTACTGTGCACAGACATAATTTGAGATTCAACATCTAAATACACAAACTGAAGAAGTGAATTTACATAGAAAAAGGTATAGGGTTGAGAATTTTAGATCCTTACAATGTAAGAGAGAGCAATATCAGGGTCAATGGTGGAATCTCGAGCTTCATTGTTATAGCTCAGGGCCTCTCCTTCTTCAAGCTCAGTCTCTTCCATCTCTAACCCCAAGCTTATCCTCTTGCTTCCATCTCTACTACCCACAGATACCATGGGAAAATGGGGGAGAATTAAACCAAAAAAAAAAAAAAAAAAAAAAAAAACAATTGAACCTCCCTAAAACTACGCTTTCTTATTTTTTCTCCTTCGAGTTTCACTTTTTCTGCAAAAATCTGACGACCCCAATTACAGAATCGAAAACCCAGAAAAACCCATGAATGATTATCAGACTGATGCTTCGATTTGCTCACCTACCAACGAAAAAGAGAAAAACAGAACTTCTATTGTATGACAGTGGTAGAAGAAAAATAAAAAAATAAAAAAAATAAAAAAAACTCAAAGTTCGTAAGGAATATGGAGATTGGAGAGCTATTCTTGATTTGGGAATCATGGGAAATGGATCATGTTATGCGATCTCGAAGCTCAGAATGATGAGCAGAAAAGTGTAGAAAGGGAGAGAAAAAATGGAGAGAGAAAGGAGGAGAGAGAGAGAGAATGAACTCTGGTTTTTTGGTTTTAACAGCAGCCGCGTTTTGTTCGTGAAGTTTTCTGTTTTTTTTGTTTGTTTGAAGTGAAATTATTTATATTATTATTTTGCCTCTGATATTTGGGAAATTATATTCTAAGGGTCAGTTTGATTGGGATGATAGGGCATGATATCACACAACTTATTATTATATCATGGTGTTTATTGTGTTTGGTTCATCTAGTTTTGGCCCGGAAAAAAGAACATGGCCCGGTCAATTATCATTCAAGTTGTTTATATGGTATCCGACCGTGACATTGGGATACCTTATCAATCCACTCCAAAAATAAAAGTTCCTAAAATATCCCAAATTTTTTTATTTTTTTCTTTCTCCGTTCCTAATCTTCTTCTTCTTCTTGTTCTCTCCTCCTCTTCCTCTTCCTCCCTTCATCTTTTTTT